AAATTCAATCTGTCAATCAATGCCATCATGGACAATACCATCACTTTTAATTGTACATACATTTAATGTGCTATTTATTTATTTGTATTCTCTTTTCATTATGCTTATTTTTATTTATTTATTTCATATACATATTCAGTTCATAATGTGTTCAGTTTCATTATATATTGATTGTCTCCATGCTGTCTGCTGCATTTTATTTCAAGTTGTATATTTCAGTTCGTTTTTCATTTTAATGTGCACTTATATTTCATTATTTTTTATTGCACCATTCTATGATGTATTTAATAATTTCATTATATTTCTATTTAAATTTATTTGAAGTGAGTTAGCTAAGTTACTAAATTTGATTTATTCATTGCATTATTTATAAAGTTACTATTATTAATCTTTCCATAAGGAGGACCCTATGAGTGCTAAAGGTCAAAAATGGTCTGTTGACCCCATGTTGAGTCAAGTGATGTCATAATACTGTCACTGGCCATCATTGAGGTTTGAGAACTTTGAATTTAAATGATAGTAGATCAATTAGTATGAATTGATCCCCTAAAGCTGCCTCCTACGACGAATGCATCAAGATAACTCAAAAACAACATTCATTCATATTAATTCATCCAGATATTTGCACAATGACGGGAGCGTGTGATCATGCCCCTGTGATCGACCCAGTTCCATGAAATGTTGCGTAAGTTTTTAGACTTCAGATAAGCCGTTCAAGTGGAGGTCTAGGGAGATGGGCCATTATCTCCACCGCATCTGCCTTCCAAACAACTCGTATGCGTCATTTCCAATCTCGTTCCGCCCATACGGCATTTTTTAAAGCATAGGATAGGAAGGAAGTATAAACAAAGAGAATTTGTTTCTAAGTCTTCGATACAAAAGGAATGCAGTTCACTGGGGTTTCCTCATTTAAATGCAATTTTCTTCAACTAGTCATAATACGAGATAATTGTCAGTAAACTGGTCCCACTCAGGTCCTGACTTAGAACAAAACGAATTAAAAAGACGAATATATTTCCTAAGTTTTCTTTCTTTTTGAGATATCATAAAGGTCGTCTTGTGACTCACTCTTAATTGGTGGGCCTATTTGTTGGACTGACTCACGCTATAATTGGTGGTGTGTTCGGTTAAAGTTCTTTCTTTGTTTTCATAGGAGATTAATGCTAGTATACAGTTACTATAAGGAGCGTTGTCACTCTCTCATGAGGCTATTTCAAATGGATGTTATGAAAGGTGGGTTGGTGTGTTACTGTGGGTGTCAGTGGAATGCAGCTGATTGTTTCCTCTCAGACCAGTACAAGAGATTTCGGAAAAGCGAGAGTGAGAGAGGCACTGGCAGAGGCCAAGAGGTTGAAAACGTACCTTGGAAATTAGAGGCCACTTTCCACTTCCATACATGCTGGAATTTATGGTGACAACCGTTGCTATTTGGAGACCAAAACGGACTTTCTTGACAAATTAAAGGATAACAAACCACAGAGTTTTGTTTTAAGCAAATAAACATCCAAATTCCTACAACCACTGAAATGTGGCAAGATATTAAAAACACAAATACATTCAAAAGAATGATATAAATGACAGCATCTCTACTGCAGATGGGAATATTTATCATTTAATATGCTAGTGATTTCTGACATCATTAAAATTCCATTATTATACGTTGTGAATCAAGTGGAAGCCAAAGAAAATAATGATTTTATACTTTAGTTCAATCATTTCAAACACAACCAGTCGAAACACTGTGCGATCAGTTTAATCGATTTAAGCCGCATTCTAATCGTAAACTTAAAAATGCACTTAGCTACCCTAAAAGCCTGGTTGGTCCATACAGATTTGGTTTTTGGTATTTATACAGTAGAGTGTTGAGCTTCTGGTTTGGCAGGGTTTTGAAGTGAAGCTATGACTTAGGAATGAGGCGCTCTTTCCGTACTCTTGGTATCACATTTCAGCTTTTTGTCTTTTGCGAAGGACATTGGCGCTTCATAGCATTCACACATACTCAATAAACGTCCTCTCAAGTCACTGTCGCTAATAGAATTCACAGGTACTTAACCGTAGGTGAAACTGCCGTTCACCTAATCGGTCCTGTAACCTCAAAAGATTCTTGACAGGAACATTTTTCATTTTTAAAGGCTTTGCCATTAGAGTACACCACAGGCTTGATTTATGATCAATCTCCTCAGTCCAGATTTTGAAGAGCGTCATTTAAGGGGTGCAGACAGAAGACCTGTGTTTTAGCTGAATATGGCCATCGCCTGCAGTTTATATTTATAATATTGGAGTCTCCCATCAATCTTTCAGTCTCAGCTTGTGAGGTGGGCATTCTCAGAATGGATAGGAATGGAATGCTCAATGTTTAAACCACTGAAATAAGAAAAATTTCAAGCTAGTGTCAAGAGCATTGCATAACAGCAATATTCTAAAATGCGGTATGAATATCACAATGGCTGTTAGCAGAAAAAACTAACTTGCACGTCACTTGCGGAACAAGAAATGTGCTGTGTGCGTCCATACCGAGACCTTCTTGTAATTAGATGGTACAAAAATAAAACAAATATTACAATAAAGGGATCAAATTAGATTAGAGTGAGTTTTTATTTTGTTTGTTGACTAATCGTCCAAAAGATAATAAATAAATTATAATAATATATTTAAAAGAAAAAAAACACTTGTGAATTTTTTTTTTTTAAATATTATAACACTAAACTATTTTGTATTTTATTTAAAATTCAATATATTCCTTTGATGGCAAAGCTGAATTTTTAGAAGCCATCACCCCAGTCTTCAGTGTCATATGATCCTTCAGAAATAATTTTAATATGTTGATTTGTTGCTCAAAAAAACTTTTCTTATTATCAATGTTGAAAACAGTTGTGCTGCTTAATAACTTTTTTTTTTTTTAAATTCCGTATTCTTTGATGAATAAAAGGTAACAGCATTTCACATTAAAATATTTTGTCACATTATGTCTTTATAGTCACTTTTGTTCAATTTAAATGAATCCTTGCTCAATTAAAGTGTTTTTTTTTTCATAATAATAATAACAACAGTAATAATAAATATAGCTGCAAGCAGCGACTAAGGGGCTTTGCACAAAAAAAGCCATAATTAGTTATGCAAGCATGGCTGGGAGCATCAGACCATCTAATTAAAGACATTTTAGATTATTTTAGTCAAAAATGGCTGAAACATCTTCAAAAATAGAATCACATGGGTGCATTCGAATCATCTTGAGGCAAGGAATCGGTGTAAAAAAGGAATTTGTTATGTTTATTGGCATAAACGCATATTGCATATTTGGACAGTTGGTGGCGCTAGAGGGGTTGAGTTAGAGACTCCAAAATTGCTTTTGTTAATATACAGACTGTCCTCTATATGTGTGCCAAATTTCATCATTTTCCTCAAACTATTCTATGGGCTGCCATAGACTTCAAGAGCGGAAAAAGAAGAGTAATAAGAAAACTAACGGATATAATAGGTACAACACCTTTGGTGTTTGGCCCCTAATAATAATAATAATAATAATAATATAGTATAGTTGATTGAATTGTGTTGAATATGCATATAATCCAGAAAATCTGTATCTATATTAACATGTATTACTAATTCAATATCATCTTTGTGTTTGCTACTGCAGGAAAGCAGGATTGATCCTGTCTCAGCTGGATGAACTCAGCGGTTGGTGCCGGGGTCTCCTCCAGGAACCAAAAATCGGCTTGCGCAGAGCATCCCTTAAATATCTGTCTTGTCGTTATACAGATACCAAAGCATTCGGGCTCAGCTGGGTGAATCTCAGCCAAGACTTACGTAAGGCATGTGAAGATCAGATGCTCTCCGTTATGTACAATGATTATGGAGAACCCAAGGAACTTTAAACGATTTGGACAACTAGAGGACTAGTCAGGGGTTGTACCTAAACACGGCCTCCCCTTTAGGGCTTCTCTCTAGAGAATCTGCTCCATCAATTTTAATATTAATTGGCCATTTAATGATGAAGGGGAAAGTATTTGGTGGGAACGTGAGCAATCCATCCTGATTTTTCAAGAAGCATTCAAGTGATGTGTCTTTGGGCTTGAACATACACATGTACAGTGTACAGGCAAAGGAAAGTTGCATTAAAGTCTCATTTAGAACTAGTGGTGTATTTTATCAAATAGGGCATACACCAGTTTGTATAGGTAAGACTTTTTTCACAAGAACTAAAACTGTATCTTCGTCATGTGATGAAAATGTCTGTCTCTGTAGTGCATATAGATATGGAAAGACCTTTAGCAAATGTAAATGTTAATTAGATATTAAATCTATTACTAATGTGCTGAATGTAGTATTCAAACTAAGGTATGCGAGGTCAAGCAACTGTACAGAAGTTTTTTAAAGTATAAGCAGTATTATGAAAATAATCATTTTAAAAGTTGTGTACAATAACATGTCTTGTTTATGTTTTATTTCCTATTCCAAATAAAATTGGCCAAATTAATCAATGATTATTTCATTTTTCAACTGAAATTTGAACAAAAGTAATGAGAGTTACACAGTTCTTTCAAGTCAAAATGGAAGTATAGTGGCAGATCTTTTCTTCTATATTGTGACGTACATCCGAGTAAAATTAATTATCGGTGGAAAAAGGGCAGGGACTTGGTTCTATTGATTGGTTGGAGCCAGATCTAAATGCGAGCTTGCAGTTGATTGTAAGAAATGGGGTGGGATTTAGGAGGACTAAATGATTGGAGAAGTCTGACATGTCAACAGAGAGTCTGAAGGTAAAAAAACATTAAACTTGCATGGATCGTTCACAGTAAGATCAAAAACGTATTTGAAAAACAGATTTTCTTTACCATTTAATTTCCTTATATTATTTTTTTATCCTTTAATATATTTAATTTTCAACTTTAACAGTATTGATTTCATACTGTATTTCAGTCTTCATTTTGAATCTTAAATTAAATATATCTTATATTTAAATTAAAAAATGATATTGCACACAATAATGGACAATAGACTTTTTAAATCCCACCAAACTTGTCTTTAATAGTGTGTATTTATACTTTATTGATATGACAGTGACACTACACTTTAACAGACTGAAGAGCATACAAAAATAGTATCATATATTTCCATTACAATTGCTATAAATGAACTGTCTTTTCCCAAAGCACACATGCATTTCACAGGTTTTGCATGTAAATGTAGAGGGTATAAAATAAATCCAGAATTCTGAAGACAAGCACTTGTTTATATACCTGTATTAATAACATATAGGTGAAGATAGTTTAAAGAATATGGCTCACAACAAGCAAAAGTTGTTTATATAAAATATGTATGCTACACATGAAACAATTTTTGTGTGCTCGATGGTGTACGTAAATGATTGTGGGCTAAATATTGGTCATATCTACATCTACACCTATGTTAGAGTTTTTGAAAATATATTAGGTATTATTTGATAGATTAGTGTTGAAGAGGATTGTTTTTATGCAATGCTATGGTTTGAATTACTGCCTTTGATCAGCCCCTCTCTCATGTGGCGCGAAACAACATTCAGGTTATTGTTTGACATTTTCTTTTCAAGCCAGTCTGAGAGCTGTCTGCGCGCTCTCCGCCTTGCTATCATTCACAGCGGTCCTGGCTCCTTTCGCTTGGCTGTGCCCTTGTTCTCTTCGGCTTCGGGGTCACGGCAGGTGCACTCATCGTGATCGCAGTCCACCCCGAATTGAATGACCTGTCAATCAATCGGACACACTTTAAAAAAAACAGCGTCCAAAAAGTATTCGGCCACAAACATCTTATACGGTATGTGGGAGCCACACGCAGTCTTTGAACGAGAGATCAAAGTGTGGTTCGGATAATTCGGCTCGAAAATACATCGCAGTAGATCAAAACAAGGAGCGTTACCTTTTTCCAGATGTGTTATCGATATCAACTGTTGACCAAATTACTCAAAATGACCAAACAGTCTATTGAAGAAATATGTACAAAAACTTGGAGAATGGCCTGATCGGGTGTTTATTTTCATAACTAGAAAATCAAGGATTGGGGGTTTTTACACTAGAAGGATTTCTAGGATTGATTAGGACAGGACGGTCACGTTCAGTGCTGCAGGGAACAAAAAAAGAGAGAGAGAAAGCCCGACTGTGAGAAGATGAGAGGAGAGGAGAACACATGTTAAGAATCAACAGGAGGTTCTTGTCCAGAATTCGTGCCATCACCACAAAATAAACCCAAATTCCCAGCTAAGCGGCCTACTGCAGGAAAAGTAAACATGAAACTAGAGGAAAAGCGCTGATTTCACCTGATGTTTATGGGATGCAATTGTCCATTTGCAGTCCAATCGAGACCATTCACTCATTAGTGATGCATTTCTTTGGAACACTGAAGCTTAGCTTTAGTTTCATGCTAAATAATCATGACAGACGCATTTTAAAATACCCAAATATTTGCTTTTGGATCACCCACAAAAAATAGAGCAAGAGTATCTGTCACGAGAATATCATTTTGTTTCCTGTGCATGTGGCAGGTATTTGGATGCTAGAAAAGCAGCCACAGAAGGAGGGATGAGAGGAATTTGTTCTTTATTGTCCAACGTTCTCTCTGGCTCTCGTCCTAGACGCTCTTAAACCAGACTGCCCCACCAACGTACTCGGACTTTTCCATGGCCTGCGTAAACAGAAGCATGGCAGCTCCGTCGGACCAACAGTGGCAGGATGCTGTTCCTCACGGTTTATTTCACTTTCTCAGACCCTGCTTGTTTTACAGTTGCCCGTGACCGCTGACACCTGGCCCTCTGCTAATAAAAGCTGCTCTATCCAGTCATTTATTTATGACAGACACTTTCCCCGAGCTCATTCTCTCTATGGGAGAACACGCCACCTGAGTGCCTAATGATGTGGGCGACGTTCACGGAAAGGGTTGACAATGTCAAGGCACGATACGAGACTGAGATTGGCACTCTGGGAGAGGAATGAGAAAATGACTAAGCAGCATAGGATGGAATGAGGATGAGAGGAATAGCCCTTCAGATGAGCTTTAGAGGGTTTGCTTTACCTTTCTAGATGAGAGAGTGGATGGACAGCAGTCTCCTCCGTCATATTGGCAGTACGCTCGGTTATTAATGGTGTCGCACCAACCATCTCCTCCGAACGGCTGCAAAACAAAAAAGAAAACGAATTTAAACGAAAAATAGCAGATATTTGATTACATAAGGAGTAGCACGTAAGGAATAAGTGTTTATTTAATGTACATTTACAAAGAAAAAATGTTTTGTATTATTAAATAAGTTTCCATGTTAATACATTTTAAATGATTCCATATCGGTTATGAGATTATTATATTAGAAATTAATTTATCAGTATCGCGCGATATTTGATATTTAATTGTGCATGCTCATTTAAATGATCTTTGCCATCATCTCACTCGCTTCATTTTTGAAAAACACTAATAATTTCGGGTAACACTTTATAATAAGGTTCCATTTGTTACTATTAGTTAACCACATGAACCAACAATGAATAATACTTCTAAAGAATTTATTAATCTTAGTTAATGTTCATTTAAAGATTTACTAATATATTATTAAAATCAAACTTTGTATCTGTTAATATTACAGTATTTAATAGACCTCAGCTAATATGAACTAACATTGAACTCTTATCTTTTATTAACTAACATTAAGAAAGATTAATAAATACTCTAATAAATGTGTTGCTCAGTTTTTACTAATATTAGTTAATGCATTGACTAACATTAACTAATGGGATCTTATTGTAAATTGTTGCCAATAACACTGTTAAATGTAATCAAATATGAATTGTTCATACTCTTCATTAAAATGTTGTAATGCCTAAATTCACTTGTAGCATTTAAAATCATTGATTTCCTGTTTTATTTGATTTATTTAGAAAACAAACAGTATACAATTTTGATATGAGCCATTTGTCAGTTATCAGTCATAACATGAAAATAATACCAAAAATAGAAAATATAATGATGTAAAATAAAAATAAAATATTCTAAAATCATACTCACATTATACAAAATTAATCTAAGAATGAATCATAGTGTCAATAGAATTAATTTTATTCTAACAGGCAAACTATAGCCTTCTATATGCAGAACCTTACAAAACCGTTTACGTGTCCAAAAAACCTAAACAGACTGAACTAGTAAATGTGCCCTTAAAGTTTTTTAAAGGTTCATGCATGAGTTACTTCATTTTACAATGTTCAATTAACAGTTTTCTCTGAACATGAGGCTATACGGATGTTCCTTGAATCTCAGAGGAATGAAATGCATGAATCATGCCAAAGGGATTTCTGTATATTTTATGGTAGGTGGCATTTCTCATTTATTCCTTTCAAATAAAATAAAACTGCATCTGTTATTCCAGACAAAACTTCCTAACTTCCTTGTACTTCCTTCAATGTCATTACTTCACCTGTGCGAGAGCATGGATACCTGATTTGCAATGCCCAAGGGAGCGAAGTCCAACCTTCCCGAGTGGACTACAATTATCAAATTTAACATGCATAAACAATTTTAATGTGTAATAAGGCCTTCCTAAAGGAATTTACTTAACCTAAAGGATCTGATGCCAATAACTGGAAAAAAAAGAGCAGTCTGCCAAAGATACTTTTGGCTGTCTTGTGCTTGTGGAGTCGTTTCATAGAGCCCAGCTTCTACCTGATTCCACATCCCTGTACAAGAGCAGCTGGCAAGGAGATCTCTGTAGAATTTATTCCTGCTAAACCTACACCCAATCCAAAAATGTTTTTCCTGCCGTGGTCCCATTCTCCAAGTCATAAGCAATAGCATTTTTCATTCTTCAGTTTCAAGCTTGTGTACACTTCATTTATTTCTTTATTCTTGCTCTTCATACATTTTATTACCTTAAGCACATTGCACATTTATTGGCAATAACAATTTGAAACCTATCTTACAACCTCGTGTTTAAATGAACGTGCTACATATAACAAGTTAAATATCTGAATCTAAAACACGTGCGTTATTAATGTTGTTTTAGAAAAGGCTGGAAAAAGAAAAATGACCTAATGCCTAAACTAAAGAATCGTGTAACAGTAAATGGGAAGGATGTGTGGAATGCATCTGCCCCGGCCAGCAAGAGGAAACCTGCCAGTGAATGTTAAACAACGCTGTACTCAACCATCTGAAGCGCTACACAAAATCATCTGACCTGGACCTCGTGTATATCTGGCACAGGAAAAAAAAAAAGTGTCAGGAAATGTCCAAATCGTGACACGCAGATGACCACAGCAATAGACAATATAATATAAATCACATTTAAGCCTCATGTTCACTTTTTTTTTCATCATAACTAATCTTGCTAAATTATTACATTAAACTGACAGCCAAAGAAATCATTCTTTCTGTTTTGGCTTGATGGTTTTAGGTTACACTTTATTTTATGGTGTCCTTAATACAGTGTAATTACACATAAGTACTGAGTAATAATAAACTACATGTACACTGGCATGGTAATGGTAATTTGGTCTTGGTGGAATAGATCTGGTACGATGCTGCTGCTGCAGAGCAAGTACCGACACTTGCTCCAGCCAATACATTTACAGACATTGCTGTAAGCATGTAAGACATACTGCTGCACTTACATGAAATAACCCCCGTCTAGCAGATCTATACAGGTGGAGCTGGGGAAGGTGGAGGGTTTCTGAAAGCACGCTGCAGACTACTAACAGCAACACTACCGGCATTTGAATGTTGAGCTGCAGCTCACTGGCCGCTAATGCAACAGCAACCAAACAGCTGCGCTATGTAGATCCGATGCGATCGGAGTTAAGGACCTATTAGCCTGTGCCATCTAGAGAACTTGGGGTTTATTACTACATTAACTACATGTAAGATGTGTAACAAGGACACTGTAAAATAAAGTAGGACCTGAGGTGCAATTTGTTAGTTGTTTTCCTCAATGTTTCGAGACTTAATAGTAAAGATACCTGTCACAGTGTCTGGTTTGTGTTCCCTGGGTTTTCACAAGAGGTTTCTTTCCCTGATCGTCACCTTCTATCATGAACTGCATTTCCCATAACCCTTTGCCTGAACTCATCACTGATCATTGCACACAGCTGTTCCCACTCACATTGTTTGCACCTGTCTATTTATACCCTGTCTGTTTCTGTGTTAGTTGTCGAGTCCTTGTTTAATGTTACCAGCACCTCGAAGTTCTTGTCCCGTTTGTTTCTTGTTTATTGGACTGTTTTATATGGATTTTGACCCTTGCCTGGCTGACTACGGATTTCAAATTACCCTCAATTAAAACTGCACTTGGATCTACTTTTTGTGTGCATTCTGTGACAATACCATGACCCTACTGTAATCCGATAATGAATATATATTTATCTCAGATAGCCTACTGCTCAGTGGAAGTTCAAGCTGTCTACTTTGAGGCATCTATCCTAAAATTCTTTTTCCTGTCCTCCTCTCAAAGAGGGTTTTTTCTGAGGCAAACCTGCAAAGTTTTTGGGCAGTATCCAAAGCTTGATTTAGATTACAGAAATTTATTGAAAATGAAACCCTCTATGAGTCACTTAAAAAGATGTATTTTCAAAAAACACAATTAACCCCTAGCAACAGTTTCTGGAATGAGAGTTCGCAATCTGAGACATCGGAGAACAACGAAACAAAATCATATCTGAAGCAAACAATATAGGTGTATTTTCACCTTGCATGATGTCGGGAGATGAAATCCCTAAACATCCCACGGGGGCAAGGGATGACACACTCCACAGGTTGCCTGACTGACTGACCACATCTAATGCTAAGAGAAAGATAGAATAAACAAAAACTCCATGGCAACAACATGTTTTCATGGACAACAATGTTTTGAGGCCCCATGTTAGTGCTGGCATCTCACTTTACTGAAGTATGCACCCCTTGATTGGCTCTCTCCAGAGTTCCCAAAAGACTACTAATTATGTTCCCCTCCATTTCATTTCTAATGTAAACTTTTCCTTTTTGTTTTTAAATGCAAGCTGACATTTTTTTTTTAGGTAAAACCTCACAACAATGAAAGTGTGAATGAAGTGTGTGTGTGTGTGTGTGTGTGTGTGTGTGTGTGTGTGTGTGTGTGTGTGTGTGTGTGTGTGTGTGTGTGTGTGTGTGTGTGTGTGTGTGTGTGTGTGTGTGTGTGTGTGTGTGTGTGTGTGTGTGTGTGTGTGTGTGTGTGTGTGAACTGGCAAATGTGGTTTACAAGGACAAAATGTCAGGTTACTCACCAGCATTACGAGGACACTTGGGTTTATGAGGACATCTCAGTGTCCTCATAAACCTTAGGCTATATATGTTATTTTCAAGCATAAATAGATGATTATATGGAGGATTTATGATGACATCTCAGTGTCCTCATAGACCTTAGGCCATATATGTTATTTTGAAGCATAAATAGATAACCATATGGAGTTTTAAGCATTTTCAAAAAATGACCTTACAAACCATGTTGTGTATGTGTAAATTGTCCCCGCAAACCAGGTTATTATTTGTATGTTTTTTTTTTTTTTCACCAGCCATCATAGTCACAAAATAAAATAATAAAATAACATCAACCCTACTCGGCCGGTCTAAAAAAATAAGAACGGCCGAGTTCTTATTTTTTTAAAGGTCAAAAAAAAAAAAAAAAACTCTAAATGAAAAGTATGTTACAGTACACTCAAAGAAGTTGTGCAACTGCAAACTCAAAGTCAGTGAGAGATTCATTCTGCCTTAGCATCATGTCTTCATGTTGGGTCTGACCTGAGTCAAGTCAAGTCCCCTTTATATCTATAGTGCTTTATGCAATGGAGATTGTTTCAAAGCAACTTTTCAAGTGATGACAGGAAAATGATGATCAGTAATGCAAATACTTCATTTCAGCTGTACAGCAGCTTAAAAAGAAAATACTGTCATTGTTCAGCTGAAGTCAGATCCGTGTTAATTTAGTTCCATTGCTAAGATCATCAATTATTACATAAAATAGTTTATTTTATCTATAAATGCAGTTCAGCAGAAAACAGTGATGTCATCATCCAGGGGTGAGTTTCCCAAAAGCATCGTTAGCCAACTATGGTCACAAGTTCCGTCGTTATCAGCATAGATCAACGAGTCAGTGTTTCCCGAAACTATCGCCGTAACAGTCG